TATTGTGTGAAATGTTGCTTGCATGCATGGATTGCTTGTATACTACTAGAAGTCAACTATAAATACAAAGAAGGACTATGTAAACCATGCCAAGTATGACTTTTTTAGACATATAATCAATATTTAATGAAGCAGAGATTGTATCAAAATTGTGTTTCTGTTCGTTCTTCTCAAGAGTGAACAGTAATACTTTTCAAGATATCTGACGTAATATCGGATAACATATATGAAAAGTCTATCTTGAAATGTTTGCACAGGCACACAGAGAGAGACACAGGAGAGAACACAAACAAGCGCAAATGCACAGTTGTGCCTGTTTGTGTTCTCCTCTGTGTCCCGGTGTGCCTGCGTAAACATTTAAGATAGATACGTTCCAACTAGGCCGAATCGCAGTTTTGCTTCAGTTTATAAAAAGTCTTTTGAAAAACTGCAATGTAGACTCTTGCAGATTTTGAGGTGTATCAATGTGACCAGTGATACACCTAAAAAACTGCAAACACTTTTTCACCACGACATTGCATAGAGAACTGTCGTGACACATGAAAATTCATTTGGTGTCATTCCAGTGGATCCTCAATGACCTCGTCCTCGGTGATGATTGCAGTGTCACTCGTCAGAGTTTTCTGCAGAGCATCAACTGCAGTATTTGTTGTCAATAAGCGGGGCAGCATTGTCAAGTGAATTTCAAAAGATAAGCTTAGTGAAGAGCAACATATCTTCACGTGGGTAGCTCAAATCATTTGCGTCTATACTTATGAGTAGATGACATGGCTCTGAGAAAACACTGCGATGCCTGACTATGTCTGTCTGCTGACCACCTGGTTGGGAGAATTCCCCACAATTTGTGGCCTACCTGAGCATATGGTAGGTGAAAAATTCCCTTTGCTTGTAAATTATGCATGTCAGACTATGAAACCTTTTGGTTTGCCCTGGCTACCATTTTTCAGGAACATTTATAAAAATTTTATGAGTTTTGGAGCCTAGTACATGTATACGTTCCTTCCACTGCACTTTCCGTTGCTTCTTCTCCACAATGAACAATCAAGTTATTAAAGTTTAATGTTTTATCTTTCAAATAAAACAATTGGTTGTTGAAAAAGAGCATGAGCTATGTTTCTAACATGTATAGATTCCAAATTTTCTGCCTACTTCAGAAACTTTCACATGATCCAGCTAAAATATATAAGCCTAGAGATGCTCAATAAACCTATACTCATAGTATGTCTGAAAACATTGACTCCAACTGCATTCTTGAGCCTTCAGTAGTTAGTGTGATCTAATGAGCAGCTTGCTGATTTAGCAACATTATGCACCGACAGCAAAATTCATATTTGAAGAAAAAGCACACTTCACAAACTTGCTGCCGGATGTACATCATACATAAGAATGTTCCATGAGCAGGCCTCGCCATTTGGCTGTTCTGGGAGTATTATTTGAAGGTGTGAAATTCACCAAATCTTTCCTAATGTTTCTCTATTTCAGCGCAATTTTATACAACAGCCAAGCCTTTTCAAATCCTTCACTGCATTCTAGCTGAGTGCTTCTGTGCTTATCGTATTACATCCGACATGCTTGTTTGCATGCTGGCTCTTATCTACGCCAGCCTCTGGCTTCTGTCTCCAGTGGCCTGATGGGGCTGCATTGCTTACTGAAAAGCTATCACTGATGTCACTGTCATGAGACGATTGCAGAAAGCTCCTCTTTCTGATTGCTCTTTGAATTACTTGCATTTCCGCACGCCTTCAACATCACCTTACATAACCTTTATTTAACATCTCTAGCTGAATTGTAAAGAAATGCATATGAATTAGGCAAGAAAGTCTGGATGATGTTCAAAGCTTTCGATAAAAATGTGTGCGAAAACTCTTTCACTGTCCATGCAGTTTTCTAAAGACATTGCTGCGATGCGGAATTCAGTCGTCCTTTTTCAAAAACTGTCATTCCTAATGCAAAAAGTGGAACCTAGTACTGAACAGGGACTCAGGAAGACAATGACAATACAGGGGTACATTGTTGTCCTCCTCTTCGGACCCTGTTCTGTACTTCACCCCACATTTTGCATTCAGAATGAACCGTCACCAAATGACGGTTTTGCTTGAAAAACATTGTTACATGCAACTCTTACAATTCATGGGGCACAATTCATAAATGCCACATACAAAGGTGTGTTGGCTGTTTGGACCTTCAGGTACTAATGCGTACTGCTTGACTTGGTGGCAGTCAGAAAAAAGACTATCAACATGACCTGATTTCGAGTTTGCTCTCCATTTCTTGACCTCGGTTAGTCTTTTCAGCCTTTCTGTGTCTTTTTTTTCCACCAAAACACTATAACTGGATGTTATAGTGTCTGTTATAGTGTATGTTATAAGAAAGCAAAGCTTACCCCAAAGGCAAGTTCTGGTTTCGTGTGACACCTTTATGAAAGCTAGGCTTCGATTATTTTCATCTAATATATTACAAACGATTTGAACTTATTTCCATCACAGCATGAGAACAGTTTTATTTTGTTAAAGTGTGCATAATAATTAGACATTTTGAAACATACAAAACAATAATAAAAACGTTTGTTTAGGCACTTATACTTGTTCCATGCGAGGGGCAAGATACATCTCTTGTCCCTGAATTTCGAGGCTTTTTCAAACATTGCGAAAAAAGGTGATCAATATAAAAATATTATATGACTATACATTGGTGTCATTTAGGCGCATATGAATATAAATGTTTCCGATATAATGGCATTGCTGCTCAAGTCAATGTAAAACAAGGTTCCACTTTAGCTAAATTTGTCTTATTGTAATTCATGTGTGCAAAGGCGAGGTACACACCATGCAGATGTGGATTTCTAATGTATGTTGGTATTTCATTATACTCGAAGCTTTTTTTCACTTATTTTTTTAGCATTGTGAGTCAAGGCCTTCACCATAATGATCAAAACTTGTATGTGGTATTTTCTGACAATTTTTTAGTTGTCAATCATGAATTGATGATTGCATTAGGCCAGAGAAAAGATTTTTCTAATGTTTTTATGGTATTTCAGGTGTGTTTCTGTGTATTGTGGTTACCTTAACTGAACTACTACAGTGGAATTTACAGGCTACTGAGTGTTGTTGCTGTAATCTAGGAGCAAACCTTTTACATTTCCAGAATTATCAGAAAAATTTCATGAATGGCCTACTTCTGCAATTAGGTTGCATTTTACATCATTGTGATAGTCACATGATGTGCGTAAATTCTCATAATTGTGTGATAATAAGGGTAGTGTGATGCATTTGTCTTCAGTTCTTCAAATCCATGCTGGTAACTCTGATCATAGTTTTAGATGTAGTTTTTTCTCTAAGAAGTGATTTCTGTTGTCCTTTTGCAGCACGTGATGAATTTCTTCATTTTTCGTGTGCACAAACACTTGACCATTTCTTCTGTGTTTGTTCAAACTCCATTACGTCAAAAATGAAATAAAAGATTGCATAAATTATCCAGTCATAGTATGCCTTTTGTGCAGAAGTCCTCCGAGTAATGTAAATCAACTGGCCCCTCTCAATTAGGAAACATTGCTCAGTGTGCCACAACACCCTTTTTCATTTCTTTATTATTTATATTAATGTTTGCTACAAGAACATTTGTTCTGTATACTTCATGTTTGATGTAACGTGAGTCAAAATTTTTGCATGTTCGCTTCTTAAGTAACCTATTAAGAAAAGGGTGGAATGTCAGTCAACTTGATAAGCCCGGTTTCCATCCTCATGAAGAAATAATGGTTGTGAAACCAGGATGTTTGCAAGTAGACATAATGTTGATCATTGACAAGGCAAAGCATAAGATAAACAGTGCTGAGCTGCGCTAATTATAGAAAAACTTCGCATGGTGCATTTATTGCGATAAGAGAGAGAACAAAAATGTTGTAAATATATCTGTAATGTCTCTCAGCAGTACTGTGTCACAAAAGCAGGAATTTTAGGTGTAGTGCTGTGGCCAGTCTTCCTCTTCAACATTTTTCTGGTTACACAGCTTTCATTTCAACACCTAGTATGTCCCCAAAATGAGCTGTCTTCTAGAGCAGCATCATTTAGCAGTCTCTTAATTATTATATTAGCTGTTAAGAAAAGACAAGATCATCCTACACTATGCACAAGAATAAAATTAAGAATGCATCTTATTTGTTGTACCTTTAGCAGAGTTTAGTGTAAATAATTTTATGCTTGGTGCAGTTCACCTGATTGCACTACTTCTTGCACTGTTTCCTGTAACAATGCAGCAGAAGGGGTTGCACACGTACTTCATATGAAAATTTTACAAATCTATCTTTCCTGGCTCGTAGGTAGGTTTCCTTTGAATGATATTTCGACATGTTGCAGCTGCATTGGGCATATAGTTTTCCATGAATGTCCCGTGAAAAAAAATATGAATTAGGCACAAGGATCCGTCTACGAGTCATACAACTACAACACAACATTTGCCATATTCTTGCATTGAAGATCATTGCCACGGCTATTTGTTTCAATGCAACCGACCAGAGGCTTATATGTTTTCCAATAGCCCTAGTATAAATGAGGGGGGGGGGGGGGAGATTGAATAGGGGTGTAGAACAAATAATTAGCATTGTTGTGATAATTTTTTTACACTTTGTATGTGCGAGGTTCATTTTCCAGCATGATGCTGTGTGTCTAGAGCAATGTACGCATCCGCTAATTTGACCTAACGACGTACGCTGCCCGCGGCAGTAATTGAAAGAGGGAAGGGGGGGGGGGCTTTTACATTCCCGTTTGTGATGCCTCTGCCACGAGCAAGTGAAGATTCAAAATTCCCGCAACGCTGTTGTCTGCAACCGCCGTTGATAGCAGCGCCGCGCGTAGACGGCGGCCAGCAACTAAAACGTTTCGCCGTCACCATGGCAACGTCGGATCAGCGGGTCAACATGGCTTTGCCAAAATTAACCGGCTCGCCTGGAAAAGCAGATGGACATCGTTCAACTCGCTCCGTTGGCGTCCGAATAGTTGCGGAAAATGTGCGCGGAACAGGTGAGCAACCTTCGAGTTGTCGCCGTTCGTCTACCGAATCCTCGCTGTTTCCGATTTAATTGATTGACCGGCCGTGGCATCGTATGCGAGGTCGCGCGTTGTATGGTCGCGCTTGAGCAACTTTGACGAGACAACGACGAGGGAAAAGCAGCAGTGGTTTTCAGCCACGGTATAACGTTCCCCTTTCAGTTAGAAATGTTTAAGGACAAACATCAAGTTATAGATGCTCCGCTAAGGGCGTAATGCGCTGTCGTCAAGGTGGCTAATCCAACGTGTCAGCCACAAGACGAAAGAAAGGTTCGATGCCTTCCTCATAGCGAAAAAGAAAAGACATAAAATCCAGCTGCATTAAATTCTGTGTTATTACACTCTGTCGAAATTGGGGAGCATTTAGGTTCGAAATCCGGCAGAGTGTAATAACTCGGCGTTTAATGTGGTACTGACCAATTATTTACCTTCTTGGTGTTTTTTAATTATATTAGGCTGAACATGGCAAAGTAGGCTACGTAAGAGCCTCCTATCCCAACATCATGGCAGTAATGTACAAGATAAACTCTAAAAAATTAAGAATGAAAGAAGAAAAAAAAACTAATCAGGGGCACTCTGTACATACAGTATACATTATAGGGCTTATAATGCATGAATAAGCAAACTATGTATGGACATGGTCCAGTTCATATATCGAGGTCACATTGCGGATAGAGTCCGTACAAATGGTGGCAAGATATAGTATAAGCTAGAGACAGTTAATTAAATTTGTGTCCATTAAAAATCATGGAGCGCGCTCACTGCACGCCTTTGATTATAGAAATGTGGCCATGGTCTAAGTATTTTTCCAATCGTAAATGGTCGTCTGCCGAGTCAGTTCAAGTGATCTCGTAGTTATGCACGTCGTTGATTATATTGCGGACACTTTATAAGAATGTGCTCCTCTGAAGCATCGACATGATCACAGTGGTCGCAGTGCGGCGACGTTCTTCTTTTTATGCGGCATAAGAAGTGACATTGTGCAGTGGCTGATTTGTCAGCAATTTCATTGCCTATCACTCCTACGTGACTTGGAAGCCACTGAAAACATATCATGTGGCCCTCCAGATAACTGACGGCAATTGTTTTTAATATTTAATACATGATGTTATCATCTACATGCAAATTCTTATTCATTTGCGGCGCTCCTTAGGAGTCAAAATATATTACCCGTGCAGTTTTTGACTTTGCGGGCTTTCAACAATGAATTTTGAAGCATGTAATATTATTGCAACAAGCTCCGCTGGTGTCACGTAATGTCACAAGATCCATTGGCGTCACGTAATACCAAATTTGGCATATGTAGAGCTAGCGAAACGGCCATGAGCGCATCATGAGCGTAGCGTGTAGTCATGTTGTTACATGACTCGTATCTCATGTTTATCATGTTTGCACCAGCATCATACCTTCATCATCCATTCACGTCCCGTAATACTAAATTTGGTATAAGTGAAGCTAGCGAAATGGCCGCAGGCGCATCACGAACGTGGCATGTAGTCATGTTGTTACATGACACGCAACTCAGGATTATCGTGTTTGTCCCAGGGAGATACTTTCGTCATCCATTCACGTACCGTAATGCCAAATTTGTTATATGTAACGCTAGCAAAACGGCCACGAGCGCATCATGAGCGTGTCATGTAGTCATGTTGCTACATGACACGCATGTCATGATTTTCATGTTAGGGTCTGTCGCTTGTTCGCCATGCAATGATGTCATACCATACTAGTTTTACAACATGCCATGTGAACGAAACCACCACAAGAACTGCAATACCATGACATGTGAATCATGACATTCATGACATACATGTCATGATTTTTATTTTGTGACTAGGCAAGTGTGTTCTTCATACAGTCATGTTATGCTATACCACGTTTGGTATCGATATTATTATTGAAACGGCCCGGAGAGCTAAAAGTCGTAGGCGGATAGATAGATAGATAGATAGATAGATAGATAGATAGATAGATAGATAGATAGATAGATAGATAGATAGATAGATAGATAGATAGATAGATGGATAGATAGATAGATAGATAGATAGATAGATAGATAGATAGATAGATAGATAGATAGATAGATAGATAGATAGATAGATAGATAGATAGATAGATAGATAGATAGATAGATAGATAGATAGATAGATAGATAGACTCAATGTCGCCCAAGTTTGCCAAGATATGCTTCACATTTGAAATACTTTTTCTTTTCTTCCTTTTTGGTTTTTCCAGGCTTTGGCCTCATGGGGTGACTTGCAACCTCTGCGCTCAAAGATGTCCCAGAAGACGCAATCAACCGCTCTTCGGCCGAACGGTGCTCGAGCTAAAGTTCCCGATGCTAGCAGGAAGAGCAAGGTCGAAGACAGCGCCGGAAGCAAAGTCCGCAGCGTAAGCAGGGACAACAAGGCCTCCAGTCGTCGTGAGAGCGTCAAGCCTGCCATCCAAAACGTGAGCAAGAGAAGCTCAAGCCAGCACGAGAGCAGGAAAGCACCGGCTTCTCAAGAGACCAGCAAGAAGGTACCCGGCCATCGGGATGCCAGGTCCACGTCGAGGCAGCCAGAAGTCAGAAAGTCGAACCTCCGACCCGATAGCAAGGCGGTGCCGAGTGGACTCGACGGTAAGGCAACCGTGGCCAATTCGAAGACTTCGTCGCGTCCAGCGTCGAAGAACAGAGAAGCCCTTACGCCGCAAGTGCCAAATGCTGGTGTGAAGTCACCGAGCCGGGGAAGTAAGATTTCGGCCGAATCGAGTGGTCAGAGACTTTCGCGAAGTAACGACAAAGAACGACAGTTGAAAAAAGTCGCGGCGACGTCATCGCCGGGTGGTGTCTCGGAAAAATGGCCCAAGACAACACAGCGCACAAAGACAAAGGCAACAGAAGAGGCTCCTCGTGGCAGCGGTGTGGCTAAGCCAAGTAACCATGCTGAGTCACAAGGTAAGACTTAGTAAATATGGCTCATAATCCTTAGCGCTACTTGTTAAGGCTGAATGACCGGAACCATTTAGTAAATTTATAGGAATTTGACTGATTGGTACAATGGGATAGCGCTAATGCTCGTACATCAATGCAGCACAATCGGAAAAAAAATGTATGTGAAAAATAGGGGGTTTGATTGCATCTTGTTATTTACGGCTTTGTGTCGTAATGAGGCTGTGCCTTCCTCTAATTTGATATTGTCGTGCCCGCTTCTTTTCATATTTTTATGTAACCGATTCGCAACCAGCATGCCCGCTGCCGTACGCGAACGATGCGCAAGTGTCTGGGAATCTTCCAGATTATTTCAGAATATTCTGATAAACTTGAGCGTGCTATGCAAACTGCAGAGTTTATTTTGGGTCTATAGCATCACCACAAACAATAGTGCTGAAAAATTTGATGGCACTGATATAAAAGGGCGACACGCTTTGCTGCTGATCAGATTAACGACGACCAACGACAGTGATGGCTGCCAACAGTGTACAACGTGTATTATTTTTCATTTAGCCGACATTCAACCGAGTGAAAAGCTCCCACCTTCTTCAACTTCTCAACCACATGACAATATGCCCCATAAGGAGTGGCGGAAAAATGGTTCTTGAACACTTATCACTTAGAGATAGATAGATAAAACTCGCTCGCTGAATTTCGCACCGACCAGTTCCGCCCTCACAATCTCCGACCACAGCGCAGCTCCGGCCGACTAGGGCTCGCCCTATGCCATCTCCTGACGTCGACAAGAGCTCTCGTGGAGTGGTGCCCCGTCCTCGGACTCTCGCGACCGTGTCCATCTTTCCTATCTTCTCTTTACTTCCATTTCTCGCTGTCCCTGCGCCTCGCTCTCTCCTTCCTCTCTCTATATATACCTTTTGATCCCTTCTTACCCCCATCTTTTGTGCTACTGTTGAAGTGTCGCACTCTGATGCAGACAGTTACGGGGCTCACTTTTCTCTTCTTTTCCCTTTAAGAACGACATAAGATAGATAGATAGATAGATAGATAGATAGATAGATAGATAGATAGATAGATAGATAGATAGATAGATAGATAGATAGATAGATAGATAGATAGATAGATAGATAGATAGATAGATAGATCATCGTCGAGAGAAGAGAGCCAGGTGTTACTCCGACCCCTACCCCCTCCCTTCCCTGCGTGGTCCGCTCCCACGTTAGAAAAAGAAAGAAGTGCCTAAAGCCTCTTCATGCATTTTCCGCCGGCCAGGTTAAGTAGCGCCAACTCTATATTCCCCTCACCCATTAGACCTGTCTTCCAACCAGCGGAAGCGGAGGTGCGGCCATGATATTTCTGTTGCTTTCCAGTTCATGAACCACCTCAGGGCTAGTAGTACCACTGATAGGGTGGAGGAAGGAAAGCTCAAACCACTTCTTGACGCACCCACCCCGTCTCATTCCTGCTATCCCACCGCTCAGCCGTCGACCGTGAGTGTATCGGTTGAGGTGTCCTCACATGAGAGACAGTTATCGTGCACTTCCCACCCCATTTACTTGGTTTTCCACCTTTTTTTCTAAATATTCGCCCCCCTCCCTCCGTCGACTCCGTCAGGCAGCCTCGTGCACAGCATCGAGGTGGCATTCCTCGCGAGGAAACTCGAAACAATTGTGAAACAAAGAAGAAAACATTTACTTTCTAACGTGTTCTGAAACAAGATGGGTGGAAAAAGCCCGGAAGGAAGTGGCTCAATAACTTCTTTTCGGAAGCTCTGAAACCGGATTTAGGCAGCGGTGGTGGAACAATGGTTGTCGCTACTTAAAAAAGCGGCAGTAGACGCGATGGAGGGGCTTTAGGAGTACCTGCCAGCAGCTGTCATGGGCCCCTTGCCCTGCCTGAAGCTGACGGTGACGATTCATGCTTTTGATGGCGGAATAAAAGTCCTGCCTTTGGAGGGTTGCCATGGGGATGTGGGGAGCAGTCCCCCGTCATGCGCTCAAATGTGCACACTCACCCACAGTAATGACCGTCAGGAGATTTATCCGTATAAGTTGACACGTTAGCTGGGCTGGAGTAATCCCCTGTCTATAGAAGTCTGAGCGTGAGGTCTCGTCCTCTGGTAAGATGTGAAAGGGGTAGAGTAGAGACCCTACGACTAAAACGATGACGTGAAGTTACTGTATTGTATGTAGCGAGGACGTTCCGCGACCCTCAGTTAGCCGCACGCCCCTCCACAGGGTCGGCCATGAGTGTGGGGGAGTGGTCTAACGAACCAGGACCGTGAAACACCGCGCGGACGGCTACAGTCCTCATGAATGGGTGTAGGGCGAATCATTGGAAATGGTTTCGTGCGGCGTAATGATCCTATCAATTATAATTTTAGAAACAATCGGGGAGACCCTATGCCCGAGGCAAAGGCTCTAACCCAGACATTTATTTACTTATTTATTTATTTGCTCGCTTACCTCATATCTGTTGTCCTTGTGGTCTTTGTGGTAAAATCTCATGCCGAATCTTGTTGATAGGTGCACGTTCATGCAGGTATGCAGGTCGCACAGTTTACCGAATTGTTGAAAGAACAGAACTTGTCAAAGTAGATAATTGTTGCTGTAACGTCACTAGCTTCGTTCTACTATTTCCTTTTCCTTTTTGTCTAAATAAATAAACCCTAATGTGCTTTGGCTACCCATCAAGGTACCGGCATACCTCTTTATTATATCGGAACAGGAAGCTTTTTTAAACACGAAAGTGTTATATGCCGGGGTCCACCACAGCTCCGCTGCCGTTCTTCCGTCACGGAAGTGACGTTGAAGAATATAATCTAAGAGACTGCAAAAAAATAAAACCAGAAGGCAAGCATCCGCCACGGGGAATCATTCCAGCAACCTCTCGATTTTCCGCGCGCGATGCTAACCACTACTCCATTATTTCAGAGAGAACTTTAACTAATTTCTGGGGATTTCTAGAGCTGCAAAGGAGCCACCAGTTAGGATTTTACGAATGGAGCCGCTGGTGAACTTGCGCAATTTTTAGCCTAACGAAAGCAGCACCACCCTCGTTGACTATTCAGTCATCATGTATATATTGCGAATTGCATGCTTTCTCACCAGTGTCGTTTGTATTATGTGTTTGGTACCAAAGTCAGGTAATAAAAGAACACAGAACGTACGTTGTCGCTTATGCTAATGGCAACCCACTTATATACACCATAAACCGTTTGACAGTCCTCAGACCTTCGAAACTAAAGAGCTTTTTCGTTATCAGTGGCAAGATGGCGCGACAGACTCGCGTCGGGCGTGTTCTACAGGTTGTCGTCTCCACGAAGCGCCGCCTCCATGGAGCGTGGTCACTCCTGAGCACTCGCTTATGAGACTCGTAATTCGGGAAAGGGCGGATGTCACATCGCACGCTGCCACAGCCACGTTTACGAAAGAACTGCGCTGCTGACACACGACGCAGGAAGTATTGACAATTGTTTGCGCTTGTCCTCTGTATCTTATGTGCTCGTCTTGTCGCCTTTTTGTTTAAACAGTGCGCTTCAAGTGTCGAGCTGTGACAGTTGTTAGTGCGCGCTTGTCCTGTGTATGATTTCCTGCGTGCTTTCTGCTTGAGGTGTGCGCTGCAAGTTTCGAGCTATTTGCCGTTCCCCACCTCACTTTGCAATCTGTTGTTGTTGCTGAAATAATGCAAAATAAACGCTCAATCACCGCGTTAAAGACACGTTTCACTTTCTTGTTATTCGGAACTACAGAAAACGCTTCATGTGCTGGCAACACTGATCAAAAAAAAATAAAGATGGCTGCGCCTAACAGGGTCAACGTGGCACTTTCGCTTTGCGCTGTACTGAGGTTTCTTGATTGTGGCGTTGGTTCACATTATTGCTTCGTCGAAAGCGAAAGGTATAGCTGGTCGCGGACCACTTCACTCTCATCGGCAAACAGCAGAAATAGTGGCGCTGTCAACGCGAATATCGAGCATCTTTTGATAACCGCGTCAGATTTATTTCAAGCTGAAGAACCTGTCCCGTGAACCCGAGGTTTAAGAAAGCAACTGCTTGTGTGTAGGAGGCCTCTCCGAAAGATGATATAGCACTTTTGCGCTGTGTTGCTACACTGCGACAGGCAAGGCTTTAACAGTTATTGAAGTAACTACGCTGCGACTTGTGTTGCCGATTGCATGCAGAGCCATTGAGTTCCGTGTCTCGCCAAAACCTAAATACGGATACCGTTTACTTGAATATAGAACATAGCTATGTGAGGACCAGTGTATCTTGAAATAAGGCAAACCGTACTTTAATTTGCAAAAGGAGCGCTCCTTTCGTTTCATTCGCAGTCACGTTATAGAGTTTCTAATGAATAAGGTCGTGTGCTCCCGAACACTGGCTTGTTGGTGTTGGTAGGAGTCGATATTCAAAGCAGATATACTCACGCACATTACGCACGCTACGAATGCACGGACATGATATTGTCACGGGATCGCGATGTCGACGAAGGGAGCAGACTGTAAATCCAAGATGAAATTGCTTATTTGGCCGCATTTGTGGCCGGTAAACGGAAAGTCACATTACAGCGACACATACTGACACTGATTTCGACGAACAGAACGCCGGCGATCGATCAACTCACATGCGGTGAAGCGCGTCGGCATTCACGCACGTGCCGTTGAATAGTCCAGCGTTATCGCTAGCGTCCATGTAGGTTCCTAAATAATCTGTAATGTTCGAACAGTTCGCGTAATCTTAAAGGAAATTATCAACTACAGTCCGGAAGTTTCTCGAACACTGCAGGAGTGGTTTGCACTGAGGATTACTTACAGTGTATCGGGGCAACTAGTAACAAAACTTGAATTAGGAATGTGGCAATATATATACGCATGAACATACACGCACGCTGCGCACGCGCGTGTGACTCATGCACACACTCGGAATCAGAAATGTTAGGGGAGAAGAATTGCAGCAGCTTAATTTGGGAATGGGTCACACTAACCCCCGTATTCTAGAACGCCCC